CTAGGAAGGGATTGGAGGGTCCATGGCGGTGCCGGATGATACGGTGGAGGCACCAAATTGTATTGTGGTGGTGTCATATGCACCACATTGTACTATGACAGTGTCAGATGAAACGGTGGAGGAACAAGGTTGTACCAGGGTAGCTCCGGATCTTCCTACTGCAATGGTGGCTCAAATTGTGACAGTGGAGGAGGGTCAAGCAGCTTCCTCCTTTCCTCCCGGGTCTGCTGGGCAGAGATGAGTCGTTCCAGCATCTCAAAGAGTCGATCAACATCCTCTCGAATTGAACCATCCTAGGCTGCTTGGTTTAGTGGGAGTCTTATTCTCCTCATATCTTTGTACTTGCATTTCATAAGAAATGGTTGAGCGATAGTTTGTATTTAGTGTTTGTAAGTCTCTGTATAAGAAATGGTTTCGAGAAACGTGGCTTTGATACCAACTATAAAAGTCTGAAACCTTAAAGGAAATAAATTTATAATTTCAATGCGGAAGTGAATAATTAATATTAGGGTTTACATTCATTCCACATTAAATTGAATTACCTAATAAGGTTATGAAAATTTCTCTTCTACGTGATTCATAAACAACAAACAGTAATTAAATAAAAACGAGTAAATAAGTATCTTAAGGCAACCTTCACTAGCACTTAAAAGGAGTCTAAGATGTGAATTACTCACAACCTTTTTGCTGATTGGGATATGGATCTTAATCTTCTTGATCTGAAATAGTTAATAAAATGATGAGCTACACTAACCCAGTAAGAATATCACACTAATCACTAATATGGAAAACTAAATATTGGTAAAAATCAGAAAATAACTAATGGAGCCCTTACTTTAAGTAAATACATTTAACTTTAAAATTATTTATTTAATATTTATTGTTACGGTTTTTCCCAAAATCAACCTATAAAGACAATTAACCAAATGTCATTTCAATTTCATACATAGGATCAATAATTCTTCTTTTTTAACCTACTTACTGGGATCTCTAGGAGTCCATAGGGATATCCCTCTACTTTAAACCTAGTATCAAGATTTGACAATTAACATGACCATCCTCATACCTAGTCCGGTAATGGGTGCCAACAATATTATTGTCTCAATACTCCGTGTGGTATGAGGGTGAACCATATCTCCCAAAATTCTTCTGGTATGAGACTTCTCAGCTCCGTCCGACTAAGATAATGTCTACGGTAGGGTTTCCTATATACCGGGTCGGTCCACCCTTTCCTAGGATGCCCAGTAAATTTTCATTTATTTAGACTCTCATCATCCAAACAACCACTAAAGTATATCAACATCTCAGTTTATATTCACAAATTAATTCAAATGGCACTAAAACAAGCGATATAGTTTAGCATAGTTAAATAACTAATAATTAAAATATCGAATAAAAAATCATCAATTCAATTACGCACAATATAATAGTAAGTAAATATAGGCAATATATGAAAATAAATAGGGAATCAAGACATGTGAACTAACTCTGGTTCCACTAGTGACCTGTAATATTTTTAGGATTTTTTTAATGTTTTCACAAAATACACAATTATCATTATTAATCATCAATTTACCGTAACCGAGAATAGAGTGAAGGATTCTTACCCAAATCGGTATTTCAAAATACCATGCTATCTACTACGCCTCCTAACGGGTCCCAAGTTACCTAAATTTTTTATGCGGGAATAAAAAATACTCGTCATATACCTAAAAATACCCCAAAAATTCAAAATTGATGTTGAAAACCTTTCCGGCCTAATTTAGGGTTTCGGCATGACGGCGCTGACTCCGCCGCCCACGGCGATGATTCGCCTCGACCTGGCCGATTTTGATCGATTTTAGCCGATTTTATACGTATCCATACAAAAAAAATACGTTAAAGGGTCTCGGTTGGCTAGAAACTCACAAAAATCGAATCTACTGGCTGGGGGTGTCTCCAGGTGCGATGGTTTCGCTGGTTCTCCTTCGCGGCTGGAGTTTCTTCTTCGACTAACCTGCACAGAAAGGGACGATGAACACAATGGTCGAAAAATTGTGTGAAACGAAAAACTAGAATGGGCTTATCAGAGGGTTTTTAGGATTTCAACCGCAGCGACTCTGCCAGGCTTTGCCCGTAGTTTTCGGCTCATCCTCCGTCCCTTTTGCTCCGATATAGCCACAGTGAGACTCGAAATCGAATTCCGAATGGGTAGGAGAAAATTTTATCTTTTTTGCCAGTCGGTGGTAACTCCGATGCGGCGGCGGCGGTGGATCAGTCTCTTTCTCCGGCGGCTGGTCCTTCTTCTCCAAGGGCAGGTGCAGCTAGGGTTAGGGTTCCCCCGTGACGCGATGTTTATATATTTATCCTGTGTCAATCTGGATTGTCCATTCGCATTGACGTGGAGCGATGAGAGTCGTCCGATCGTTACCTGTTTAGATTGATTGTGTGGACAAATCTGGACCGTTCATCGCGATTGATCTCGTCCGTCCGATCGTACCTAAGGAGGAAATGATATGAGTCGTTCACATGCGTGAGATTGAATCTGAGCTTGGGATCGCTGGGCACGCAGATCGCTCACGTGGCCTCCAGCGTGACATCGATGTCAGCATATTTTACCACGCGATGTGCTTTAGTTTGTAGTGGCTCTTGACTGGCCGTCCCACATGGCCGAATTTTCTCTTTTTGTATTTTGACTCCTTCTAATTTTTCTTTTAAAAACACATTTCGAATTCAAAATTTCACGAATTTTTCCAAAAATTGCTTTTAATTTCGTCTCTAACTTATTTTTCTCAAATAATTTAATAAAATAAAATAAAATTAATATTTTTAATTATTTTATAAACATGAAAATTGATCCCGAATCAAATTTCAGACCCGAATATTACATACAAGAACATTTGCATAAAATTACTTCCCAAGTTAGTTTATTACGGCGCCAAATAAAGTAACTACATCACAACGCTATTCCACCAAAAAAAAAACCCTACATCTAAATACAGCAGTACATTTTAATATGAAATTAAAGTGATACAAAACCTAACACAACACCAGACTCTGTAACAACAAGAGTAGTAACATCTTTTTATTACCGTCCCATTTCGAAAAACAAGAAAAAAGTAGTTCTACGAATGGTAAGAGTTATCAATGTGACAAAATTATCCCCAAAAAAATCAAGAAAAGGAGAAGTTCATTACTTCTGAACTGCAGGAGATGATGACCTCAATCCAACAGCCTTCCACAGCTTGATCCACTCCAACATGGCTTCAGCAGCACGAGCAAATACAGGATCCACTGACCCGAGCTGCTGCTTCACCAATTTTGCCATCTCAACCACGCAATCCTCTGCTGTAGTTGCTGTCTGTGGCAATCTCATCGTCTGAAAAAATGGTACAATTTGCTCCATCAGCTTCACCCCTTCCCACTCTTTTCGCAAGCTCTCTATGGCATCACTTCCATCATTTCTCCACACATAAGGCAGACCAGTTTTCACACCAAGCCCCAGATGGTCGCAAACAACTTTAACACACATTCCAGACCATATATCTTCCACTGTTTCCCACCTGAGCTTTCCTTCACCAGACAACCTCAAAGCAGGCAACAATGCTGGCCCTACTGCCTCACGATTAAAGGCAATATTTATTCCACTGATAGGCACCATGGCCCTAACTGGAACAGTCAAAACTGCATCAACATATCGAGAATTCCTCTGCCCTGGCTTGAGGGCTTGTGTTGGTGCATCGTAATCAGCTAAATTCAGCCAAAGACCACAGGATAAAGCACAGTTTACGCCACTCCGTAGGCTAAATGGGTATCCACGGACAAAATCTGCACCGTCACGGAAAGGGTCATATAGTGTATTAAAGAAGAATGGGGTTGCAGGAGTCGCGAGGTTGGTGATATGCTGGGAGACAGCATCTACCAAGAAGCCCTTACTATCCTTGGCTGGGAGACAGTCATCATCTACAGAGAAAATGTACTTCTTTCGAGATATAAGGTAACCAAAATATCTGCATGAGTAACCAGAAAAAATACCAGAAACAGAAGGGCCCACAACTCGATCTATATCAGACTTTGTATAGACATCAAGGTCAAAGCCTTGTGGAATTTTAAGGTCCTCCTTAAGATCAGGGTCCTTGATAATTATCAAGTGGAATCGAGAAAATAGTGGTTTCCAGGCATTCATGAAAGAAGTAAGGTCAGCATGGAGAGCCCCTATCACAATGTCAATCTCATTGTCTTTTACATTTGCTACAGACATCATATCAAGTGGTAAAAATGGCCCTAAAAAGATCTACTCGCCTGCTATGTAAAAACTCTGTTTTGCCTGCTAAAACCAACTAATATTTGTCTTTGAACTCTTGTTGTCATACCACCTTAAGCAATCTTAGAATTTCTCAGAACATCCTGCAGGAGAAAAATAAATCGCATTAGTTTCACTTCGAACAGTGTAGAGATGGAAGAACAAGTTCAAATTTAACCTACTTGTAGGAAGGACAGGAGTGGAGATATGCTGGATATTGAGTGCCTCAATCAATGAAAGGACTTCGTCTTTGCCAGCTGTCATGAACAGTCTCAGAACTCGCTCATTCAGCTTTCCAGCTTTCAAAGTTCTCTACATATCATGAAAATCAATCAACAAGGGAATCAACATGCAAGAACAAGCTAAGAGTAATGACGAAGGAGATAATAAAGTGAATGCACAAAAAGGAAGAAAATTTCAAGGAAACTGAATTGATTCATTCCGCACACTTAGGAAAGGCAACGCCATTATCCTCTATGCAAATATAGCAAGAATTTCCCCGTTATACTGCTGATCTAGATTGCAGAGTGTTGCAGTCACACCTTAGGTTACTCGCATATTGTCAAATCTTCAACTAGAAGGAACCTAGATTGTAACCCTGGCTAACAAGCAACCTTAGATTTAAAGAGTAGTGCCTAAGAACTTTGTTGGCTTATATGAGGGCCAAATGGAGATGTCTCTTTCAATTTGTTACTGAGGAACTATGCTGCAGTTTTCTCTTAACTTTCTTCTTTGTTTTTTATTTCTTCCTCTTCTTCTTTTTGGTGGCTTTTGACGATGTCTTATCTATATCTTTCTCTTTTCTCTCCAATAATAATTCTTTCTTTTTTATTAAAAAGTGAAATATTCCTTAAAAATGGGACTGAAATAATTTTTCTTCTTATATGAATATGGGTCAAAATGCTATGAGAATTGAATTTAGAGGATGTTTTCATGAATGTTCCAAACCCAAAAAACATGTCATAGATTATACAATTAAATCCTAAAATGATCTCTTTCACTTGATTCATCAGAGCAATTTTTGGCAGTGGAAAATAAAGTATAAAAAGGCAAGAACAGGTAGTGGAACATAACTCGACCCTGACAACTCTTTTCAAGGAAGATTCCAACTGCCTTCATCCCAACCTTCATTTTGTTTAGCAGGGAAAAAAAAGTAAAAGACCAATAATTGTAATGTACAACTCTTTTCAAGGAAGAGTTCAACTGCTTTCATCCTATCCTTCATATTGAATTTGTTTCAGAATTAAATAGCCAATTTACAGTGACGATGGAGCAGACACAATAACTGCATATGGACTTTACAATTTACAATCACAAGGAAAAAATTCTAAAAGCATGTTATAAAGAGAGAAAATAATTCCTTCTCCAATTCCAGAAGTACTGCTTATTGAATCAAAGAACTCGAGTAAAAGATCAGTTGATCAGTGACTTCATGTAGAGAAGCAGAGAAGAAATAGATAACCAGCATACACAAACAGAAAAACATTCATTTAATCTTACATAAAAATAATGCATCCATTCTGTATATCTAGCTACAGCTATAACAACCAGTAATATTTTTGTAGGAGCTAGTGCTACCCAATGCAACATATGGAAGTGAGCATATAGCTCATAGTTTTTGGGTGTTTTACACCTGTAGAGCTTTTACAAGACAAGCTCCTAAATTGATACTTGAATATGTTATTTAGTAGTCCTTCTATACATAATTAGATTTCTCAACGACTTCCAAATTTTTTTATGCATGTTAATGATGACAAAAATGAAGTGGATATTGCATCATTGACTACATTGTTTACAGCAAAAAAAAAAACCTTAAATTATGACTAGAGACCTATCAATCACAATTAATATTCTTTCTGACAACATTTTATAAGCACCAGAAATGAACTCGCCATTGATCTTGAGGAAAAAACCTAATTTCACAACTCAAAATCAAAGAGCTAACAAAGGAAAAATGACCCATCACTTGGAACAAGATTTCTCAACCATTTTTCATATAAGAAAAACTCGAGGCTGTAACACAACATAGTTTGTTTCACAATAGGGGAACAGTATATGGTTCAGACAAACCAAAAGAATAGCG